TGTGACCCTGGGCAAGTCACTTAAAACAAAACACACAAACAAAAAAAACACAGCTTGTCCTAATCTTTATGCCATTCTAAATATTAATGTCAAAGTTCCCAATTTGGGGCTGTTTTACTTCTCCTCTCTAGTCAGCAAAACTCATCTCTGACTAGTTCTGTGGGAAAGCCACACAAAGGAAACTTCACATCTAGGCTAAAACAAGTTTCACTATCTCCCTACTACCACTCTCCAATGGAGAAAATGGCAGAGCTCAGGAGGAAGAGATGACTATGGGATGTGCCACAGAGATAGGAGCTGTGACATGATCGGACCCATCCCTTTCACTCTATTTCCATTCTTCCTCTCCTGATAAATTACCTCATTCATCATTCCACCTTTACCACTGCCACCTCCTCAGTCCCTATGGACAGAGTGATTCTAAATTGACCCAATGCCAGATTTCCCTACTCTTCAAATACAAAACTCAAAAATGGTGAAACAGTTCTAATTTCCTATTAGGTTTGTTCAACAAGGATTCTTCTTATGAGTTAGAACATAAAAAGACCAATTACAGTTATCCCTTTCACATTGTGTGGTTAGAGATGCCTCTCCCCGCCTCGTCCTCAGATGATCTTGAAAGTCCTTGTAAAAATTTTTGGCCCTCCCCTCCTACCAGAGAAGTCTGAATTATTATGGTACTGAAAGATAAAATATGTTGACCTTATACAATACCATACATATATTTTATGCATTTCTGAGTTTCTAAACCTTTTCTGTGTTGTCTGAGGCTTCCCAAAAACTCTCCCCAAAGTTCCCATTTAATTTCTTATGGCAATCACAATGGAGAAAGTTGCAATGTGGAAGGGATAACCGTATGTAAATCATATTTGATTAAATCATTTAACTCCTTGATTAGACTTATATGAATCGATGCAGTCAAGTGAGCAGAATCAGAACAATTTACATTACATCAATATTATAAACATAAACAATTTTGAAGACTTGTATAAACTGATGAAGATTGAAATGAGCAGAACCACAACACCATACGCAACTAACAACACTGTAAAAAACAAATAACTTTGAAAGCTGTAAGAACTCTGATCCATGCAGTGACCATCAATGATTCTAGAGCACCAAAGATGAAGAATGCTACTACCTCTTGACAAAGAGCTGATTGATCCAGAGTGTAAGATATGTGTGTGTGTATACACACATATGTGTATGTATATATGTATATGTGTGCATGTATGTGTATATGTCTGTCTGCATACAACATGGCCAATGAGGGAATCTGTTTCGCTTGTCTTATTTATTACAAGGAATGTTCCCACCCACCCACTCAAAGGGGCTTGAAGTACATGCTTAGCCACCACTGTAAGTCCAAAGACCAACCTCAAAATGGTCAAGGAGGATCATCGCTAGGAAGTTCCATAGACAATCCAATGATAGCTTTCTGGGCCAAGCGACTCATGGAACTTTAGAGAGAGTTTCCCTTTACACTGGTAAAAGGGGTATGTGAACACGAGAAAATATAGCCTTTTCGCTTATTAAGGTAGTATTCCTAAAAGTGATCTGGATAAGCAACAAAGAAACTGCCCAGTACAGCTAAGAGTGCTAGGTTTGGAGTTAACTACAAACTCCCATAGGTGAGTCAGGGTGCGGCCCGAGTCTAAACCTAGGCTGTGTCACATTGGACCTGTGTGTTTTAGGCCAAGTCATTTACCCTCCATGACCTCAGTTTCCCCATGATAGTATTGGATTAGTGATTCCTAGATTTGCTTCCAGTTTTAAATCTATGATTCTCTTAAATAATAGGGAATGAACCTGTGTTTTATTGATAGAGCGACATTCCAGAGGAGGAAACTCACCCTATCAGTGTAGGTTGGCACCTTCTATACAACTTATAGTCTTAGAGCAGGCCTGCACAACCTGTAGCCCACCAAAGGATTTCAGGCAGCCTACAAAAAACGTAAAAGGTTCCTCTACATTTTTCTTGGGCCACCCAAAATCCTTTAGCGTGCTGCAAGTGGCCTGTGGCAGGCAGGTTGTGCAGGCCTGTCTTAGCAAGCTCCCTACAACATCGAGAGATCAATGTCCATGGTCACAGAGCCAGTATATATCAGTGGTAGAACCTGAATCCAAGTCTTACTGGCTTTAAGGACAGCTGTCTATCTCTATATTACACTGCCTCTATTGTTATTAAATGTCTACATTGTGCTGGAAACACAGAGAAGTACAAAAATAAAAGAGAGACAGACTGGCATGGAGGAAAGGGCAGCAGGAAAAGAACTGAGTTTATAAGTCTTGGCGTGGCACATACTAGCCATATAAGATAAGGCAAAAATAAATAAATGGCAGAGAACCTCCTCAAGCCTTAATTTTCTCTTTTGTAAAACAGTAATAATGCTTATACTATACCTTTACAGGATTTTCTTTTCTAAAACTCAAGTGAACACTTAAGTGCTCATTTGTATGTGAATCACTAACTGTAAAGTAATACATTAATGGACGTTGTTGTTGATAGTAGTAGTAGTAGTAGTAGTAGTAGTAATAGTAGTAATAGTAGTAGTAGTAGTGATAGTGGTAGTAGTAGTAGTAGTAGTATTGTTACTTATTCTGGTAGCTATTTTCAAAACGAATCATCATCTTGGAGGTGACCAGAAAATCAAACTATGAGGGAGAATTTTCAATAACTGTTTTAATCAAACTACAGACTTTTCTTAAATGAAAATGGGCATAAAACAAGAGGTCTGATATACAATCCAAATGGCTGGTTTCAAATGAACAAGAAAGGTCCAGGAGAACAGGCAGAATTCTCATGATGATATTTAATACTGACCGTGCCAGATCTCTGCTTCAAATCCGAAGAATTCCCTAGGCAAGGCCTTGAACAAAGTTTTCCCCCAACCCAAGGTAGAAGTACAGAGCTATAGATCCAGAAAGGGCCTCTCTTCCAGAGGTCATTCAAAACACCCAGAAAAAACAGAGAACTCCTTCCGGGAAGCTGATCTAACAAACCCAGATCCCTGTACAAACTCTACACATATTTCTGATATATCTTACTCCCTTGTCATGTATTTTTACGTCAAGGACTTCTTTTGTTATAGGCATCTAGGTGGTGTTGATAACACACAGGACTGGGTATCAAGAAGAGTGGAGTTCAAATTCAACCTCAGAACCTGAGCAAGTCACGTAACCTTTGTGTGCCTCAGTTTCCTCATCAATAAAATGGGAGTGATAATAATAGCACCTACATCAAAAGGTTGTGAGGATCAAGAGAGATAACATATGTAAAGCACTTTGCAAACTTTAAAGCAGCAGTAGTAGTAATAGTAGTAATTAATGTGTACTCTCTCTACCCATGCAGATGCCAACCAGTGTATATCTTGACAGTCTTCTTGAGAAGTTATGGCAGAAAAAAAACCAATTTGTTGCCAACTTCCTAGTGATAAATGTCTGTTTAATCTGTCCTTCACATGGAAGACATAAAATCCATGCTTCCTTTCCAGCTTGGTAGGACCTCACAGAATATGCATTCTACTGGTTCTTCTTCTGAGAACTAAGGATTTCTTTCAAACCATGATGTATCATTGGAGGGGAACCTGAGTGGAAGTAATTCTGATATAACAGAAGTATATGACCTCTCTTACCAACCCTCTGGAACTGTTTCCCCATTTGTAAAATGAGAGGGTTAGCCTAGATTCTTTCCAATTCTTAATAGTTTGAGGAACTGGTAACTGGGATTGCAGGTAATAAAGGGAATTGCCTGATGTGCCTAACTCTCCTCCTCTCCCCTTTATCTTCTCCAAACCTCTCAATTGAGGGAGCATGTAATATTTTGTAAAATCTAGGACAAATGCAACTCAATAAACATTTATTAAGCCTTTACTGTGTTCCAGGCAATGCACTAAGCACTGGGGATACAAAGAAAAGCAAAAACGGCAAAAGCCCCACAAGGGGCTCATGTTGGAGCCAGCCTTCTTCCAAAACTTTCACACAATTCCTTCTCCCCAGAGAACCTGAGCTGGGAGGTATAAAATGCACACAAATAAATACAACACATGGAGTAAGAGAGGTCCAGACAAGATGTCCCTGGGCATTTCTAGGAGACAGGAATCATTTTCAGCTGAGAGGGCCGGAAAGGCTTCATGAAACGGCCTTTTAAGCAAGGCCCTGAAGGACCAGGATTCCCACAGTCAGTCAGTTAACCAGCATTCATTAAGGGCCACTTTGAGCTGGGAGGGCTGAGGAAGGCTTCGGGGCATGGTCCCCTTGAGCAATGCCCTGAAGGAACAGGATTCTCAACATCAGTCAGTCAACCAGCACTGATTAATCACCTACTATGTGACAGGCATACACATGAGGCAGCTAGGTGACTCAGTGAATAGAGTACTGGGCCTGAAATCATAAAGACCTGAGTTTAAATCTGACCTCTGACACTTATTAACTGTGCGACCTTAGGCAAGTCACTTAACCTCGTTTGCCTCAATTTCCTCATTTGTAAGATGATCCGGAAAAGATAAGTGAAAACCACTGCAGTATCTTTGCCAAGAAAACCCCCAGTGGGGTTACGGTGTCAGACAGGGCTGGACGATGTAGCAGACACTTTGCAAAGCAGGGGCGATTCAAGGAAAGGCAAAAAGCAGTCCCTGCCCTCAGGGAGCTCACAATCTGATGGCGGGAACGGAGGAGGAGAGAGCGGTGCAAAGAACTATGTACAAGCAGAATAAATTAGAGGCGGTCTCCAAAAGAAGGTAGTAATAACGAAGGGAAACTGAGAGTTTTTTGTGCGTGTGTTTCTTTCTTTTTTCTTTTCCCTAGCTTGCTCCCAGACGAGTGAGGATTACTCCAAGGATGGGCAGGCATCTCCTCCTAGCCCGGGAAGGGCTGGAGAAGGCGCCCGGCCGAAGCAGCGCGCGGTGCAGCAGGCAGCCAGCGGGCGCCCAGGTGCGCGCGGGGAGCTCTGCGCGGCACAGCGGGGCGCCGGGGCGGGGAGCGCGCGCGCGCGGGCTCACCTGGCCGTGTTGAGCAGCGGATGCCGCGTCCCGACCAGCTTGCGCACCTGCATGGCGATGTTGCTGAGCTCGTCGCTCAGGAGGCAGCGGAGGCTCATGAACGAGGTCGGGTAGCCCACGATCTTCTCCGCTTCCGACACCACCTGGTTCCAGTGCGTCGGGGATCCCGAGAAGAGGCTGCGCCGGGGCACGGGGGGCGGCCGCAGGAGCGTCCGCCACAGGGCGCTCGGGGCTCCGGGGCGCGGGGGCCGGCGCAGCAGTTCCCGCAGGCTCATGGCTCCAGCGCTAGCAGGAGCGGGGGGCGGAAAGGGGTCAGAGACGCCAGCTGAGGGCCCGGGAAAGCGCAGGTTAGCCGTCGGCAGTTCAGCGCCTCCGCCTCGGCGCCGGTGCACGAGCTGCGGGGCCAGCTGCCGGTGCCTTGGGCGCTGCCATCTTGGGCGACGCAATCCGGCCTGTCGTAAAGGGGGCGGGGCTTAACCAGGCCCCGCCTCCCTGTCCTCTGGCTGCGGAGGGGTAGCGGGTACCCCTCGCTATTCGGAAACGCCTCCCTGGGACCCGCTGCAGCTGTCTGGAAGGGGAGGGCGTTTTGTTTCTTAATTAAACTTATTTTTTTTAAATTAAGGCCTAGAGAGATTAGTTAAGTGACTTGTTCAAGGTCACACAGATGAAGTAGTAGAACAAGATTTTTACCCCGAGTTCTTTGAGTCCAAATTCTAGGCGCCCAAGAACAGTGTTCTAATGCTTTTCTAGATTACAGAATTTTAGATCTAGAACCAATCCCTCATTTCTTTTTTACGTTTGAGGAAACTGAAGCCCACGGATTTTAAAGTAAGAGTCACCAGTTCAGTAGTAATAATAACAATAACTAACATTAATATGGTACTATGCTTTACAATTTTCATTGAATCCTCACAACCACCTTGGGAGTAAGGTTTCATTATTATCCTCATTTTACAGTTGAAATTGAGACAAACAGAGGTAAAGTGACTTGTCTAGGGTCACACTAATAATAATAATAGCCAATGTTTATGTAGTGTTTGCTATGTCCCAGGCACTCTGCTAAGCACTTTATAATCATCTTGTTGGGTCTTCACAACAAACCTCAAAGTTAGGTGCTATTAATAATAATAATAGCTTATGTTTATGTAGGGTAGTTAGGTGACTTTGTTTATAAAATGAACTGGAGAAGGAAAACCTTTCCATTATCTTTGCCAAGAAAAGCCCAAATGGGATCATGAAGAGTTGAACAAGACTGAACAATAACAATATTTATATAGCATTTACTACGTGCCAGGCATTATGCTAAGTGCTTTAAAATTATTATCTTATTGCATCCTCACAACAACCCCGGAGTTAGGTGCTACTATCCCTATTTTACAGATGAGGAAACTGAGGCAGACAGCGGTTAAGTGACTTGCCCAGAATCACACAGCTAGTGTCTGAGTCTAGATTTGAACTCAGGTCTTCCTGACTCCAGGTCTGGCACTCTATCCACTGTACCACCCAGCTGCCCCCGGTGCCAGTTATTGGGAGTAACTCAAAAACCGGATGGAGATAACACAGCTGAAGAAGAATAGGGTTTTAATTCGGGGGAGTGATCCACTAGGGCAAACAATGCTGGGCCCAGATCAGAGCCAGAAAGTCACCGAGGGAATCAGGCCAGAGGCCTCAGCAAAGTCATGAAATGAAGTCTGGGCCAGGTCCAGAAGGGGCGGAAGAAGGGAGGCAGATTGATGTGCATGAGGTAACCTCAGAAGGAACTTGGAAAGAAGAGACAGAAGGTGTTAATACATGCAACTTGTTTCACACACAAAGTCTCCACCCAAGCAGACCTTTCACATAGTCAGCATACTCTGCTCCTTCCTCACCTGTGTCAACACTGCTGTGGGCCCAGGCATGGCTTACAGGTGTCCTCATAACTCTTAAGTCATGGTTTAGTGAGTTATTATCAGGAGCTCCAGGAGACAATGTGGCCTGTGTCCTGTATGTTGTCCCACAGTTCCCATGTTCTCTCCTCAGGCCTCGTAATCTTACTAGTCTGCTAGGCAATAGAAACCCAAAGGCTCTCTCATCCCATGCAGCTGTCCGTTAGGACACCAGGGGCTAACCAGCGCGTGTATCTTGCCCTCTGTCTCTCAGCTGTCTGCCCCTTCCAACTAGGAATGGTGACACTCCTGACCCCACAATTCTTGGGGTTCCCTGCAGCTTTGAAACTTTGCCTGAGTCCGGGCTGCCCAGATTTGAGGATCAGTGAAGCAGTTCTTACCTGAGCTCTCTATATCCAGATAGCCCTGGACATCCAGACCGTACTTCATCCCATCCAGCCATGCAAGATTCCAGAGCCTGCCAGCTTGGGCATTGTGCCGCTTGTCTTACCACCATGGGCATACCCTTCCTCCCTTTTCCTGTCTTGTTCAGGGAACAATAATCAAATTAATATTTCTGTTGCTTATAGAAGGGGCGTGACAGTCTACTGCCTTGTGTCTCCACTCAATCTCTCTGACTGCCCTAGACCTAGGCCAGAGTTCCTGAATGTGATGTCCTTGAAGGCAAGGACTTCATTATTCTTATACCTCGCCAGACATCTAGAACATAATGGACACCAAGCAGTAGAGCTTCCTGAGGGTGAGACAAGGTGGTATATGCCAGGCAGTTTGCACCCACCACTGCCTCCCCTCAGATGCCGGAGGAGACAGCACCTCTTGACCAGGACTGCTTAAACTTTTTTCCACTCATGACCCCTTTTTGCTTTTCTGCAGCGTTTGTTGGTGTTGTGTGGCCTGAGGGCATGTGTGATGCAACGTGCTCATGCCTTGTGTTCACAGCCAAGGCTGCAGTGAAGTTGCACGATGCAACATGCGAGGTGCTGCCAGAAACTCCTTGGACTCATTACGCGTTTGATTTTGAATTAATTTTTGATCGTTGCATATTCAGAAAGCTTTTTCTGTTGCCAAATTTGAGGTCATGACCCACAGTTTTAAGAAGTCCTGTCCTAGACCACCATCCCTACTTCCAGTCCCAGCCATATCAGAGAAGAGCAACTCTTGGGGAAAATGGAGTCTGCTACTGCTACCGATGAGAAGATAAGCCCAAGCGCGCCGAGCATAGCAGCACCACCCCAGACGATTGACAATGCAGACAGCATCCCTTCCCTCCATAGCAAATAGAGCTACTAAAGACCTGGAAAAAGAAAGTCTTTGGCACTAGCGGTTGGCTCAGCATCAGAAATGGATATGATTTTTTTCAGTGAAAATGACGTTAAAGAAGCTGTTGCACCTTAAGAAACACTGGGCCTTTCCATCTAACTTGTAGCTAAAACCTTCAGTGTGTGTTGTCTCCCCTTGTTAGAATAGGATATGCTTGAAATTAAGGATTGTTTTGCTTTTCTATTCATGTTTTGCTCATAGTAAAAGGCTTATAAAATAATTTTAATTAATTCAGTAAATACTAGTTAATTGATCTTGAAGATGACACATTCCTCTTATTTGTCTTTCACTGGGAGAGGTAGCCAAGGATTATGTGGAAGGAGAGCCTTTTGTATCAAAGACCAGTAGATGGAGGGTGAATGGATGTTGAGAAGTGTAATAATAGACCTGTGTGACCAGGAAGGAGCATAAAATCAAACAATGAACAAATATTTATTAACACCTACTTTGTGCCAAGTGCTCGGTGCTTTGTTTCAAAGACAAAGGTAAAACAGTTCTTGCCCTCACGGAGCTTAACGTTCTTTCCAAAGAAACAACATGTATATGTTTCTGTGTAAATTAAAAATAGATGTGAAGTAGATTCAAGGTTATTTGGGAGAGAGGACACTAGGAGGTGCTTGCATTAGGAAACTCTTCATGAAAGTGACTCTGGAGAGGAGTGTTGAAGGAAATTTCTAAGAAATGACCTTGAGGAAGAATAAGTTCCAAAGGCATGAAAGTAGGTAATGGAATATCATGTATGAGATACTGTAAGGTCAGATTGGCTGAACTATATACAGTGCTTAAAGAAGAGTGTTATGTAATAAGGCAAGAAAGAAAGGTGGGTTAAGATTGGGCTGTAAAGGCCTTTAAATACCAGAGAGGAATTTAGATTTGATCCTCAAAGACATAGGGAACCCCTGATGTTTGTTAAGCAGGGAATGACCTGTTCAAGTGTGCACTTAAGAAAAAAACCTTTTGACATCTTTGTGGAGGATGGATTGGAGTGGGAAGAAACTTGAGTAGGGAGATGAATTAGAAGCCCATTGTGGTAGTCCAGTAGAGGAGTGGTGAGGCCTGAACTAGGGTGGTGTCTTTATAGGTGGAGAGAATGGAACATAAGTGGTGATGGTGGTGGTGGTGGTGGTCCTTTGTTCTTGAAGAAGACTAAAATGACATCATTGTGTTGGGGTCAAGGTACAGTGTGTCGGAGTGTGGCTGATCAGATCAATACGAGTTCTGAGGGCACTACCACGAGTCAGGCACAAATGGTCCATGTTAGCCCAAATAGTCCAGGTAAAAGATAGGAGGGTAAAAATGGAAAGATTTGGCAAGTTATCAGATATATGTATATATGTATGTATGTATGTATAAGTATGGGATGAAAGAAAGTGTGGAGGAAAGGATGAGCCTGAGGGTGATTGAAAGGATGGTGGTGCCCTTGGCTATAGTAGGAAAGTTCAGAAGGGGGTTGAGTTTAGGGGAAAAGATAATGAGTTCTGTTTTGGACATACTGAATTCATTCTACTATTGTTGAGCAAGCCTTTTGATGCTCTCACACCCTGCAAATTGACATTTGTTGTTGTTCAGTTGTTTCAGTTGTGCCTGACTCTTCCTGACCCTATTTGGGGTTTTCTCAGCAAAGATACTGGAATGGTTTGCCATTTCCCTTCTCCAATGAGGAAACTGAGGCAAACAGGGTTAAATGACTTGCCCAGGCTCACACAGCTGGGAAATGTCTGAGTACTCTATCTACTGGGCTACTAGCTGCCCAAATTGACATAGATAACAAAAAATGAAAATAGTTAATCTTAGGCGATGGGAAAACAAGACCACTAAATAATGTTGATTGAGCTATGATTTGATGTCTAATCATATTAGATATCAATTTGGAATCATGCAAGTGTAACTTGGTTTCACAGGCTTCCCACCCTTAAAGACTTAGAGACAAAAGAATGCATAGAATCTTTGCTGGGGAGATGAAAGACTCAAGTGATGCTA